CCAGGAGTCACGCCCCACAACCGTGCAACAATACAGCGTGTGGACTAAACCAGCCCTCTAACCCAAAAAAGGAAAAGCTCACATTTGGCTCCTACACTGAGCTTTCTGTCTATTGCAGACACGGCATCTGTGTCCACAGCTGGACTGGCCATCGGCCCACCGGGAAAATGATTTTCCGGTTTTTATGGGTTGATGGGTTTTTGTTTGTTTGTTTGTAATGGTATTAAAAATGAAAAGTGATGGATTGGCCAATTGGTCATGATCGACTCTGGGCTGGACCAATTAAATGGTAAATGGCCTGTATTTATATAGCGCTTTACTAGTCCCTAAGGACCCCAAAGCGCTTTACATATCAGTCATCCACCCATTCACACACACATTCACACACTGGGGATGGCAGCTACATTGTAGCCACAGCCACCCTGGGGCGCACTGACAGAGGCGAGGCTGCCGGACACTGGCGCCACCGGGCCCTCTGACCACCACCAGTAGGCGGTAGGTGAAGTGTCTTGCCCAAGGACACAACGACCGAGACTGTCCAAGCCGGGGCTCGAACCTTCCGATTACAAGGCGAACTCTCAACTCTTGAGCCACGATCGCCAAGGGGGTGGGATGCGCCCTCCCTCTGAAAACAATCTTATCACAGACAAACATTAGAGTGGTTCGGGTCATACCTGTCTGACAGGACCTTCTCTGTGAGCGTTGGCAATTTTATCTCTTCCTCAGCTCCCCTTACTTGTGGTGTTCCCCAGGGATCTATACTGGGGCCAATATTGTTCTCCATTTATATGCTGCCTAATTTTTAGAAAATGTAACATTTGTTTTCATTCATATGCCGATGATACTCAGATCTATCTTCAGCTGAAGGGAAACAGTCCTGCCTCACTAGAACCCTTACTTCAGTGTCTCGGTGAGGTTAAATCCTGGATGGCCTCTAACCTCCTTAACTTCAATGAGAACAAAACCGAAGTGCTAATTTTTGGACCAAGCGGCTATCCCAGCACCTCTAATGTTAACCTGCGCAGTCTTGAGCCTTTTGTCAAATCACATGCCAAAAATCTGGGGTTATATTTGACAGCAAGTTCACCTTTGAAAAACAGCTGAGCTCAGTCGTACAGCGGTCCTTCTTCAAACTGAGGCTTTTATCTAAGGTGATCATTTTTATCTTTTAAAAACTTTGAACGAGCGATTGATGCTTTCATTATATCCCAGCTGGACTATTGTAACTCCTTATATGCTGGAGTCAGCCAGACCTGCCTGGCAAGGCTGCAGCTCGTCTTCTGACACGTACTAAAGGATGTGAACACATTTCCCCGGTGCTCGCCTCTCTCCATTGGCTCCCTGTCCACTTCAGAATTAACTTTAACATTTTTGTTGACCTACAAAGCCCTGAATGGACAGGCTCCCGGGTATTTGTCTGACCTCTTGCAGACTTATACCCCCTTAGATCTCTTAGATCAAGTGATCTTTTGCTTTTAGCTGTACCAAGGTCGAGGCTGGTTCATAGAGGTGATCGAGCATTTGAAGTCATAGCGCCTAAGCTGTGGAGTAATTTACCCCTACACATCAGACAGGCTTCCACTGTCAATCTTTTTAAATCTTATCTTAAAAAACATTTTTATTTACTGGCTTTTAATACAGCATGAGAGTTATTTGTTAATTCATATTTGCTATCAATACTCTAAGTTGTTTTATTATGTATGTTGTATTCTTGTACAGCACTTTGGTCAACGCTCCTGTTGTAATTAAATGTGCTATATAAATATATAAAATTAAATTAAAACAGAAGAAAATGGTATTGAGGTGAAAAAGGAACATTTTGTCCCGGACTTCAGCTACAATGAAACAGACACAAAGCTGGATTTATTCTGCGTCTTTACGTTGCAGCTGCCTCTTCTTCTCTCATCCTCCCCCCTCCCTCTAATAGGATATTATGGTCGACAGTATCGAACGCTGCACTGAGGTCTAGCAGGACAAGCACAGAGATGAGTCCACTGTCAGAGGCCATAAGAAGATCATTTGTAACCTTCACTAAAGCTGTTTCTGTGCTGAGCTCTGAAACCTGACTGAAACTCTTCAAATAAGCCTCTGCAGATGATCTGTTAGCTGTTTGACAACTACTCTTTCAAGGATGTTTGATATGAAAGGAAGGTTGGAGATTGGCCTATAATTAGCTAAGACTGCTGGGTCTAGAGATGCTTTTTGAGTAAAGGTTTAAACTGCAGCCAGCTTGAAGGCCTGTGGTACATAGCCGATCATTAGAGATGTATCTATACAACTGACTATGTGATCAGTGAATACATCAGGCAGGAGAAACCTGAGAAAGAGGAGCAAGGAGAACCATGGTGGAGGACAGGCCCCTGCACAGTGTGCACCCCCACAGATAGAGAACACGGCTGGACTGAATGACAGCACCGAGGCAGGCTCAGCTGTTTCTATTAAAGCAAGTTTGATTGTTTTAGCTTTGAAAAGAACAAAAACTTTCAGCAGACCTGCAGTTTGCTGCCTCATCATCTCCTCTTCCTCCTGTCTGATAGGTTTCAGAGTTCCTCCTCTTCGTGTTTCACTTCCTGATGAGCTCTTTGTTTCTCTTCACTGATCATCACAAAATCAATCAAACAATTAATTGAATCTGATTCTCTCCATGTAAGAAAAATACATATGATTTGGTGTCATGCAGACATTTCAGTAACAATTTATAATCAATCGTTCAGTTCACAGTGACTAAAAAGAAAATTAGAGTCTGAAGTTTCTGAGGTTCGGGCTTCACAGACACGCTGAGGAGGAAGAGATTTATTTCTGCTGAAGGATGCTTTGATTCACACTTTGGGATAATCTGACATTTGACAGAAATCATTTTAAAAACCTTCAGACTTGCTTCTGATGCCTCGAGGCTGGACTCCTGTAACACATCGCACGCTCATCTCTCTTACAATGAGTCTAAAAAGCTGCAGACTGGTACCAAAAAAGAGAGGTCACATGACTGCTGCGATGCGTCGACTCCCGGTGACTACAGAACAAAGCGTGTCTGCTGCGTCCACACATTCCTGACCATCCTGCAGTTAAAGGTCATCTGAAATGGCGCCGTGCCTTCCCCGTGTCTGCACCTCTGGAACAACCGCCCAGCTGGTCTCAGATCAGCTGTAGCTCTTTAAATCCAAGTTCAAATCTTTCTGTGGAGCCTTTGAAACAGCTGATGGTTGGAGGCAGGTCGCGGTCGTGACCTCTGCGATCTTCAGGGTTAAACAAGCCACGCAAAGAGCTCTGAGTGCTCAGCAACAGGAAGTGATGTCAGAGTATCAGCTGGATCATGGAAGCAATACAGAGATGATCAGATTGTTTTATTAATCAATTTGTCTGTTTTTTTTTTTTAACTTTGTTTTGGTTCGTCAGATTTTGTTTTCAGGGATCATTAAAATGTGAATTTGAAATATTGATGTAAATGTTGAATGACTCTGATGTCAGCGTTCCTGGTATGGGCCTCAGAGACCTCTGTTCTTCCAGACGTTAGCTTCTTCTCTGCCTGCAGAGAGCACTCAGTGAGAAACATGGAGCCTCGTCTAAAAGGCTCAAACTTCCTGATAAAAAGCAGCTGCTCCATTTGGGCAGGATGTAAATAAATCAAAGTAAAGCAGGAGCAGTGAAAATATTTCATTAAATGTTTCAAACTCTTTCAGGAGGAGAACCGCGGACAGGTGACGTGCACTAACATTACATGCTGAAAGTAATCAGAGTACATCAAAAATGCTCAGTAACTGATCACTTTCTTATCAAACATGTTTGTTAGCCTCAGCGTGCTAACAGTTAGACTCCTCACATCCCAACGATCAGAAACAGACTCCTCCCACTTCTCCATGGTTTCCTGACTTTACTTCATGTGCTGAAGACGTCTACGCAATGCTGTCAACTTATTGGGTATTATTGATCCAAGGATCAAATTATCAGTAAATGGGCTTCAGGTCAGGAGCCAATCAGACGCCTTAATTCAAGTCATTATGATGATGATCCTCTTATATAAATGGGATAATCTGAAGTTTACTGTCAAGTTCAAACTGCACGTCAGGGCTCAGCATGGCTGAAGTCTGCCCGGCAACAGATGAGTGCCGTCAGCGCTGACATTAGCCAATCGCAGTGTTCTAAAAATGAAAAAGCAGTTCAATCAGTTTTCACTTAAAACTCAAAAAGATACATCGATGATTTTACAGGTCAATGAATCCACAGCAGCAGGATGAGGACGCTTTGTTTTAAACCTCACAAAGCTTTTCAAAATAAAGCGCTGAAAGAAGGCTTTAAATAAAGTTTAATCTTGGGGTCAGACAGCAGCTCCACTTCTTTAATATGTAAACCTCATGAAAGTGATGAGCAGTGTGGGGTCATGTGACTCCAGCCTGAGAATGAGACTCAAAACATCCTGTGGACACAAGCTGCTCTCAGGAGGAAGAGGTGGTGGTACAGCTACAGCCAACCCAGGGACGCACAGAAACAGCTTCACGGCCTCTGAGGTCATGTGACAGCAGCGATGTAATCCACATCGCATCTGACAGCACCAGATTTAACTTCCTGTCTGCGTGCACAAGCTTATATAAGCATAAATCTCCCTCAGTGGAAACTATCCACACGCACACACACTCTGGATCAATAACTTATACAGACCGTGCATCTCACTTCCTGTTAATTGAACGGATTCTGCTCGATCCATTGGCCGCTCTGACTCGCTGACCGCCCTCTCCCCTCAGTTCAGTCAGCTGGACTCTAATCGGACAAAACCAGGAATGTTAATCACGCTTCCAGCCATCAGCTCACATCTCATCACGCCAGCCTCCTCCTGTCCCAGAGAGCATGTTCGAGTTTATTGAACCTAACTGAAACCCTCAGAGTTGGTTGAACAACAAGGACACTTTCAGGTGAAAACATCCCAATTTAAAACAATTATTCATTATTTATCTTTCATCTCTTCATATGATGTCAGTTTTTCAGAATAAAGTAAGCGAGAATCAAACTTTACAAATGTTAGACTTTTATTATGAAATGATACACAAAAATAGGAACAGACAAACACTCCCTGCTTACATCACTTCCTGGTACAGACATCATCATTACATTTCACATTACGTTACAGCCTTGCTACAGTGCTAGCAGCTAGTTAGCTCACGAGCTAACCAAGTTAAATACAATAAGTCAGAGCTGAGGGCGGGGTTCTGTGGTTAGGGACAATCAGAACTGTTCCCCACCCCACCCCCCGATACAGTCGCTCATACAAAAACTCCAAGCCTCAGGGCTGACAGCACCTGAACGCAGCACAAGCCCTTCAGGAAACACTTCAGGGCCCATCAGTATCGACATCATCATCGTTCACTTTAAACACATTTCCCTCTTACTTCTTGTCACATGGTCCCCACACGCGCACACACACACACACACACACACACACACACACACACGCGCGCCACGCACGACACGCACGCACGCACGCACGCACACACAGGTAAGAGCACTGGAGTGTTCAGTAAAGGTTTCAGGAGCAAAGAGGAAGTGAAAGGTCACGTGACTCCGCCCATAGCAGAGGGTCAGAGTAAAACAACTAAACGTGACAAGGCTTTCCTGACCTTTGACCGTTTAAAGCTACATCAGTGAGGGGAAAAAGAATGGCTAAAATCTGCCCGGTAACAGATGAGCCATAGTTTTGACATTGACCAGTCGGACAAGTTTGCGTCATCAGGCTAACCTTTGAATCTGGTCATGTATGAGGTCATGTGACTTTAGCTCAAGGACTAGCCTATGAAGCTAACATTTTCAGGAACTCAGGATCCCCACAGGGAGACGTGAAGGTACAGCTCTGACTAAAGCTGGTCCAGTCCCTGAAGGGTCCAAGTCACAGGTCAAAGGTCAGATATTACAAGATCTCAGCATTAAAACAAGTTCAGACTCGAGAACGGTTAGTCTAAGCTCACTGACATAACTATAGCGAGTCCGAGTCGACACAGTAGCGAACAACTGCAACAAAAAAAATCTCCGATAAGAGAGCGACAAACCAGTCTGAACAGAGACGGACCACAGGGTGTGCCAGCTAAACCAGCAGCAGCTCAGGTGGCCACAGCTCCGCCTCCATAAACCCTGCCATCATCATAATAACTAGCAGTGAGTCACGTGCGTGCCGTCTAAAGTAACGGCTAAAACACTTCCTGAATCTGACCTGTTACAGCACAACACTGATCGTCACGGTCGAGTTCATGAACCAAGGAAACTCAAAGCTGTGTCCTGACGACAGAAGCGATTCAGTTCATATAAAACAACCCAAAAAAGGTGAGCCCCTCAGGAACCCTTACATTAACCATGCTGGTGTTTCAGAGTCCTCCAGAGAAGGATGCTCATGAAGACGTGAAGGTCATCCAAATCCTGTGAAACCCAAAAGAAGAAGAAGAACATGCAGACCAGAGGAAAAAACGTTTGTAAGGCGCTGATTACGGATTTTTGGGAGCTTCTGAGAAAGCACTGAATCTTAAGCCTGTCAGCTCATCTCGCGGTTCAAAGTCTCCTTTGGATGCTGGTTTAAAGCCCTTTGGAACTCCTGGTTCCTCCTGACTGCCTCTCTGTGCTGCGTATGAAGGAGCCCCGGGTGGTATCCGGCTAGGCGGCGGGATCGTGGGAACCAGGGTGTAAGTTAAAGGTTCAGTTTTTGGGTGCATGGGGTAAAAGAGTATGAGACAGATCCAGAGGTAAACATCTGTCTGAGAACTCCTGTGAGGTAAAGTGAGGAAGTGCGCAGTGAATCCTACAAACATCTGGATCACAGCTGGAGGATAAAGTGTTTCTTTAGTGCTGGAGTGGATCTTGTACATCATAAAAGCCAGTGAGTGTGACCTAAAAATGTGTCTTGTGGCAGTCTCACCAGTAGGGGGTGGTCTCTATGTGGCCCCAGCTCTGCCATTCAGGAAAGATTCCTGCTGATGTCCGAGGGCTTCCAAACGGATCAAAGTCCGAATGGATCTCATCTCTCTTGTCTCCGCTGCGGTCCCTCTGGAACGGTACTCCAGCTGGACTCTCAACGGCCGTGCTCCGACTGTTTCGATTGGCCGTTGCCAGCCGATAGTTGTTCCCAAGGTTGTTGTCCCAGAACGTCTGGTCCTGAGTCTGGTACCGGATACAGAACTCCACTTTTCCAGAGGGCTTGAGGAGCTCCGGGAGTGCGATGGAGAATGAGAAGGTGTCGGTGTCGGGGCAACCGTAGACGTTGTTCAGGTACTGACAGCGAACGTCCTGGAAGGAGCACCAAGAGTCAAAGGTGATCCGCACCCAGACAGACTTCTCAAAGCAGATGTTTCGGACCTGGACAGTACCCGAGAGCAGGTGTTCCTGGACTGAACAGGTCTCCAGGCACACCTGCTGGGCTTTGAGACGACTCCTCAGGTCTAGGTAGTCTGCGGCTGGCTGGGTGAAGGCCAGAACCAGGCAAGAACCACAATCTGCTGGATCTGGAAGGAGGAGATGAAGAAAGGTGTCAATAAAGAACATGAAGCTCAGCTGAAATGTTCTGACTTCCCAACTGCTTCAGGGATGCAAAAAGAAGAGCGACTGTGAGTAAGCAACCCGGCACAAAGAAGCTTCCAGAACAAATGTATTGATTAATAGATTACTGATTTGTTTGTTGTTAAGTATCAGTGACCTCCTCCGTCACCTTTGATGTCTGCCAGGTGCAGTCCGGAGGCAGCACCCTCGATCTCGGTCAGCAGCTCGCTGAGCGCCTCATCTTCGCACTCGTTGTAGACGTGGACAGTGGCGAGTGCCAAACCCCGCGAGTCCGCAAACACCACGGTCTTCCTCTTCTTCCTCCTTAACATCCCCGGGCTGCCGCTGTTGCTCTCTGCGCCCGCTGATGGTGCCGTCGCCATCGCGGAGGTAAGGCAGGGTCGCAGTGGTCGGCAATGCGGCAGCAGAGCGACTGAGGATGAGGAGCGCTTGTTGCAGTTCCCGAGGAAGGAGCGCAGAGGAGGTGAGCTGGCCAGGCAGATCCTTACGGCCACGTCGATGGGCATGATGGGAGATGGGCCCCCGGGGCGAGGGTTCAGGACATGGAGGACCCTGAGGAAGACAGAGGGGGCCAGTATTCAGAGTGCAGAAGAAGAAATCGCCATTAATTTGAATAAAGTCACTGAAGATAACGACTCTCTGCAACACCAAACACCTGAACTACGTATGGCCTCTCAGACAAAGTTCAGAGCGCTCGAGATGACGGCCCGTGATCAATCGTGATGAAAAAGTGACCAATCAAATAATTCTTTCCTCGTTAATGAATTAAATGGTCAACATTCTGTGATCTTAATACATTAAAACTGCCTAAAAAGCAGGTACGTCAGGTGTGCTCATACAGGACCAGCACTCATTTCTGAGTCCTGGACTGACCTTTAGACCCGACTGTGGGTTTTCAGAGATTCTCTTTCCTGCCTGTCGTTTCTTTTGTTCAAAAACTTGGCTGTGTGAAGACGGCGAAGAGCGCAGGAGGCCCAGGTGTCTTTAGAGGTGATTTTACACAGAAAACACACAAACTGGACGATATCATAGAACTGCAGGTCCAAGTTCAACTTAAAGAGCTGGTAAAAGTCGAGCCTTAAAAATCAGTCACATGCAAACGTTTTTTCATGCAGGAAGTGAGAAAAACTCCAGCGTGTGTCTGTGGGCCAGGTTTCAATACAGCAGTGTGATTGGCTGGTTCTGCTGATCAATGTTTGAAACCAATAACCACCAAGTGATCGATTATTGGGCATCTTTACTTAGTTACCTTTAGCTAACAGGTATGTCGGACACACAAACATGAGACTAACACGAGTCAGGTACGTTTGCATGTTTCTGATATCACCTGAAGCGGTGCTGACAGAGTAATCTGATTACTGAGTGCATGGTCAACAGTCAAAGCCAGATTATTGATGACTTGATTTGTAATCTGCAGCTCTGTGATGAATATTTCAACACTTCTCCGATTTTAAAGCTGACTGACCCGGCGGTTCTTCTGATCGATGTTTGAAACCAATAACCGACAGAACCATCGCTTATCGATCAGTGCCAGGCTGACCTGCAGCTCGAGTTCACAGACTGATGATGAGGAGGATGAAGGCTGTGGCGCAGTTTAATATTTGAGCAGCTCACCTGGTGCAGTTCATGGAAACCTGTCGCCCGGTTCGGCCCGTCCCGGACAGCCGCGGGGCTTCCCTCCGTGTCCACGGTTTTTTTTGTTTGTTTGTTTGTTTTTTTTACTTTTTTTTCTTCGTTTATTTTTCCGCCATTTTAAAGTCCGACCACTGCCTGTCCGCGCGCACCGACACGCCCCCTGACAATCCGAGAACGGGGAGAGAGAGAAGCCAATCAGCGCTCGGCACCGTCAGCTGGTCACACTGACAGCCAATCAGAGAAACGCCAAATAGAGCGAGCGAGAGAGTGAAGGAGAGAGCGCGTTTATCGGGACGGAGAAGGTGGGCGGGGCCTGATGCACACTGAGCTTTGACTGACAGGTGAGTTAAGAGGAAGAAATGCAAGTGTTAGTGAGTGAGAGACGCCACTGATCACTGCCAATCACGCTTCTGTACGTCAGAATTTGCCGTTTTTAAAGTTACCACATAAACAAAGTTATGATTTCGATCTGTCTCATGTGTCTCTGATCCCGTCAATGTCATCAAGGTGGACTGATGAGGACAGAGTCTTCTGCGGTGAAGCTGCACCTGCTGAAAGATGGACGAGACGACCGTCCTACAAACGTCCCCACAGGCTGGTCGAAGCTGCTTTCCTTTTTACTTACAGATTTCAGCTGCAGAGACCTCAGGAAATCGCTGAGTCTTGTCAGACAGACTGAGGGCTGACAGTTCCCACAGTGAACAGGTAAACTCACAGGTAAACTCAGAGGAAGCTTCATCCTTAGCTGCCTCATACATGATCAACAGACTGACAGACAGTTTGCCTCCTCTGCAGACCGTGAAACTGAGGTGAGGACAGGATCAGACTTTTAGACTGTCCTGCAGCAGCAGCTTTGCATGATTCAAAGATCAGAATAATCCTTCTTTGTCTGTTACTAGTTGCAGCTCCTTGGCTCCCCCCATTCTCGTAAAACAAGCTGTTTTAGTGCCTTCCCTTTAAGGGGGGTTTGTTCTGATTGACTGACTTCAGGAAGTCTGCAGAGGGGCAGCCTGTAGTGCTTTAGAAAGACGCTGATGTTTAGTGAGGAGTCAGAGGTACGTGTGATGTCACATGATGTAGATTTAATCTGTGACACATTCAACTTTATTTATAAAACACCCTTTAACAGAAACATACCTCCAGCAGAACCAGGCTCAGGGAGGGGCGGCCATCTGCCGCAACTGACTGGGGTTAGGGAAGACACGACAAAGTCACGCTGCTGAGAGCCAGAGATTAATAAGAACTAATGAGCGCTGTAAAGCACTATACAAATACAGGCCATTTCAGTGCAGGGGGGTCTATTAACACATAGTGAGTGAAGAAGAAACACCCAATGCATCATGGGAATCCCCGGCAGCCTACACCTATTGCAGCATAACTAAGGGAGGATTCAGGGTCACCTGGTCCAGCCCTAACTATATGCTTTAGCAAAAAGGAAAGTTTGAAGCCTAATCTTAAAAGTAGAGATAGTGTCTGTCTCCCGAATCCAAACTGGAAGCTGGTTCCACAGAAGAGGGGCCTGAAAACTGAAGGCTCTGCCTCCCATTCTACTTTTAAATACTCTAGGAACAACAAGTAGGCCTGCAGAGCGAGAGCGAAGTGCAACACAAAGTGAATGGTGCACTGAGGTCTAGTGACAGCAGTGATGATATTGACCACAGCAGACAGAAGCTTCATTAATAAGGTGTTTAATAGCTGTTTGGGGTAATAAGACATACAGACTGTGTTCTGTTCCAACAGGAACTGTGCTTCATCACTTTGCTTACTTCATCTGCAGACAAACGTCGTCTTCATTGTAAAAAACACAAGTGCTTATTGAAGATGTGCAAAACAGAGTAACAACAACAACAATAATAATAACAATAATAATACTGTCAGCAACAACAAGGAGAAAAGAGCTTCAAACTTCACAAACTCACAGTGAGAAACTCTGTACCATCAAAACAGAAATTATGGCTTCAACAGTGCAAACAACACCAGATCCTCCGAAGTCCAGCCCTGATACCCAGATATCCGGTGCTCGCTGCTGTGAAAGGAGGTTCCTGTACCTCCTCCACGCCTCAGAGAACCCATTCTTCACACTGAAGCTGCAGTCAGGCCCAAAGTTTGTTGACGGTTTGGGGCTCTGAACGGCATGCCTGAACTCGGAGCTCCACAACCTCAGAGAGCAGTTGTTATTAATAACCCCAGTATGCGTGCTGTCTAACCTGACCTGGCGCTCTGCTGCCGCCCCCCTGTGAAGCCTCGTGCGGACTCTGTCAAGAGCTGCTCGTTTGGTGATGTCACTGATTACTGGACTTTGTGAGCTAATGTTAGCTCACAGGCTCTGAGGCACATACTTTGGTTTCAACGTTAGACTCACCCTGAGACCGTCACCGTGCACGCTTTGAGTCCTTTCTTTGAACCAAACGGGAATAAATTCCCGTTTGGTTCAAATAAGGAATAAATTCCCGTTTGGTTCTCGGCACAGCGCCTCCTTCAAGACGTCCTGAGCAGCTGATTTAATCAGTTTAAAGAGCGACGTAGCCTCACCTTCAGACTTCACCAAAGAAACGCTTTGAATGAAACTTGATTTGAGAACCTTCATCACCATGATCACCTTTTTCAGATTATAGTTTCCCCTTATTTAAAGATTATTTTCTATCATTTGAGGAATGAGAACATTGGTACTTTGAGCCCTGATGATGGGATAATGGAGGGTTGAGTTTAGATTATATAAAGGTCAGACATTTAATTGTTTCCTTTTTTAACTTTATAGTTAATCAGTATAAACACTCTCACAATGAAAAAGACTTTAAAGTCATGGCAATGAGAACATTTCCCATTTTTTCAGATAACTATTTGTTTCATTTATTTTAACTAGAATATTCTTCTTTAAGGCCCAAAACGGAGAAATACAAAACTCATATTTTACCAGCACCGAGATTAGTTCAGGTTTTTCTCTTCATGCTAATTATTTATTTTTTATTATTACAAGAAATGTTTTCTTTTATTTTTATTGTTTACTTTTGAAATGTGTTGCAGAGTAAAATGACTCTTCTCTCTTTTTTAAAAGTCTGAAAATAAACACGTCAGGTGTTTTTTCATTACGTGAAATAATTCAACGTTAATTATAATTCACTGAAAAAGTTATAAAAAGTTTCTTTGATGAACTCTGAACTTTGAGCGATCATTAATGTTCATCCCTGTTGCTATGAAAAGTTATTCTGTTCTCATTGCTGAAAACAGCTATGGAGTAAAAGGTCAGAGGTCAAGCTAACAGCTGATCTGCTTTCCCACACAAACATCATTGTAGTTTCATTTAAGCACAAACTCAAACCATCAGAGACAAACACTTTAAAACTCAGCTGATCTGAAATTTAATGAGGTCAGATCTTCCTCCTCCTCCTGCTCCTCCTCCTCCTGCTCCTCCTCCTGCTCCTCCTCCTGCTCCTGCTCCTCCTCCTGCTCCTGCTCCTCCTCCTTCTCTACAGACAGATCTGTTTGGCGAGCTCGCGGTCCAGGTCGTGAATCAGCGTGTCAAAGTCCTTCAGGCTGAGCCGACAGTTAAACGGAGCGTCAAAGTCCAGGAAGTCATCCATGTACAGAGCTCCGCCCCCTCCTGTTGGCCATGCCCTCTTCTTCTCCTCCTCGTCTTCATCATCACTCCCTGAAAAACCAAGAGGAAGAAGCAGAGTCAGAGAGGAGAAGGGCTGTCAGTCAGACACCTGTCAGTTCTACAGTCACCCTCTCAGGCCGTAATGTGACCCAGCAGGAATCAAACAGGTGTGATTTCAGTGACACCTGTGCAGGTTAACCATGTGTATAGGTAGACGATCAGCTGATTTTTACCTGCATCACTCTCGCTTCCTGCCACCTCATCGTAATCGGCATCCTGCCCGGTCAGAAACTCTTGTCCGCAAACGCTCCAGTCTCCCGCGTACCTGTTGATTGGCGGTGGACTCTCCAGCCGGGCCACACCGCCACGCCCTCGCCGTGACACCACCACCTCCTCTTCAGGGCTCTGTGGTAGAGCCAGGCGCAACGCAGGATGCCGCTGCTGCTGCACCAAGGGATTCTGGTGAGGGGTGGAGGAGGGAGGAGGCGAGGCATTGGCGTCGGCTGGTGCTCGATGAGTTGGCACTGAGGACAAAGAACAATTGGGACGATCTCGATGGGTTCCATGGCAAGGTAAGGATGTGGGCAGGTCTGTAGGGCTTACCTGGCCACAGCTGCAGCAGGTAGTGCAGCGCTTCGATGTGCCGTTTGAAGTCCACGGCGCTCGCCATCTCCTCGCCATGATAGAAGCCCTTCGTTGATCCTCTTCCCGACTTCCCTCCTCCCCCCCTCCACGCATCTTGGGTTGGCGTGAGGAGCACAGGCCCGAAGCACACGGCGAGGTTCTGATGAGTCATCCTGTTGGCGGCGCTCAAAGATGCTACGAGGCTGAGGTGGTCGAGCAGGAGCAACAGAGTGGCCTGAAAGCGAGAGATGGCGAGGACAGTTAGTAGACAACTCAGCGGTTGACCTGCTGAAATCTGACCTGATGTCAGATGTCAGATTAACTCGTCTCAATTTTCCCGAATGTAAAATATTCAGCCTGTTTATTTTACTTCAAAGGTTCCAGGTTGCGAAAAGGTCAAAGGTCAGGGTGTTAGGTTGCAGCTGAAGCTGCCAGTTTTCTACCCCTCTGTAGGACCATGTGTTCATACAGGAAGTAAATAATGCGTTCATTATTCCAGACTATTCTTCCTGTTCAAAGGCTGCTGCCAACATTACCCACAATGCACCGGGAACCGCGACAGCAGCTTCTGCATTAACGAAGAAGAAACGTCCCTATGAGAATGCAGTTGGTGCATGCAGAATTCCTTGACTACTGGAATTATGTCACTGGCCAGTTCTAGCGCGACATGCTCGATCAGACTAAATCAAACCTTCATCATTTGCTTTAAATGTAAATGCTGTGTGTTCTTTATCTGTCTTACACCAACTCTGCAAACTAGAGCGGTCATAGAGGGCTCACAGCTGGGTCACAGTAGTGTCCCAGAGACAGGAAGAAGCAGGACCAACAGCAGGCCTGCACACAGAAGAAGAAGAGTGTCCATCAGATAGACTGAGTCAAGGTACTGCTGACTGTGAGGACACAGCAGGAAGCTGCATTGTAAGAATACTGCCGGTGCACTGCAAGATTACCACAGTAGTACTGCAGGAGTACTGGATGTTACCCTTTCTGGAGGTGGCAGACAGGACAGCAGCTCCACGGTCCTTTGGGACAGTTGGGGATCAGGTGTTGCAGGTTGGACAGGTGGGGGTCGTAGGGTCATGGCCTCCCGGACCACCTGGTACAGAGTCCTAGTGATGAGGGGGGATGGCAGCTCCCGCAGGTAGTCCTTTAGAATCCCTGAGGAGGCAGGTGAGTGCAGTCACAATGAGTATGAGGACGATCAGAGGTCGGGTCAGAGTCTAGCTCAGACACAGGGACAGGGTAAGGAGCCAGGGGTCAAGTACATGTTCTCTGCTGTGCTTACCTGTGATTACGTTGATGTCAGGGTAGAGGTCCTCAGACAGACAAACTGCTGAGCTGTTCCTTTCGAACCAATCCCTGAGCTCCTTCTTCACCGCAGCAGAGCCACAGAGCCTGTAAAGACCTACCACCTGACACACACACAGACACATAATCAGCTGACGGCGAAGCCGCGGCATCTTTGTCACAGCAGACTTGCACGCTAACCTTCAGTCCCCGTCGTTCGATCTCTGCCACTGTTTTCTGGATCAGCAGGGGGACGGGAGTTGCAGAGCCCTCTTTCTCCACCAGGTGGTGGAGCTCAACCCCAAACACAGAGGACGGGGTGGATGCGTCGCCGTTGGGCTGCAGACACACAATTTATGATTGAGTCTGTAGCGGCGGTGGTGGTTGGTCCACAGTTCACAGCACTTCATGCTCATCATGGAGATGCTGATTTCCCTTTTCAGCAGCGGTGCAACTGCTACCAGAGGGTTTGCTGAGCATGATGCTACTGTGATTGGTCTGCCAGCTCACCTGACCTGAACCCCTATCTGGGCTTCTGTAATACTGGAGCAGCTGCAGGCTGACCGTGGCTATGCTACACTGCACTGCAGCAGGCATTGATGGTGAAGGAGCCCCACCAGGTACCGACTGTGTGAGTGAACACACCCTTGAGAAGCTGGACGTTTCCATATCACAACCACAATCACCAAAATGAAAACAACAAAAAAGGCTTCAAATATTTCACTTTATGTGTAATGACCAGTGTTAGTCAAGTTACTTGAAAAAAGTAATCAGTAACTAATTACTGATTACTTCCCCAAAAAAGTAATCCC